TATCTTCATCTTCTTCATTTTCATCAACTTCATCAACATATCATAGAACTCGTCAACGTACTTCATCACAATATTCATCATCATCTGGATCAGTATCAACAACTCCACAATCAAATAATCCAAATTTCCTTATTTGGCGTCCAACAATTCGTTCAAGTCGTCATTCAAGTTCATCATCGATTAGTTCTCTATCATCAACTACTGATAGTGAACATAATAATCCTGGTGAAATATCTTCACGACGAATTGTTCCAAAATTAACAATTCGTATGAAACATGATCCATTTTCATTAGATGATGTTGAAAATATAAAATCATCCAAATCATCTATGGTTACAACTAAAGTTGACAATAAAAAACGACCATTGGTGGATACAACGATTCATGAAACATCATCATTGCGTGCAAAAAAACGTCGAAAAACATAGGATGCAACAAAGATGAATAATTGTTATTCACATACATATATATTTATATGGCACGGCTCAGATTGTGTTTGTGTATATATTGATTCGCTGTATTCATTGTATTGTTCGTTGTCTTTATTCAAACTTTTGATTTCGATTGTGTTTGTCATTAAACAGAAAAAGAAATCTCATATCAAGTTACTTATTTTGAATAAAGTCCATTTTGATGCCGAAATAAGTTAAGATATAATGCAATTATTCTTAAAACTATTGTTTATCTTTCTAATACAATAATTTCATCATATGATTGGCAAATTCATCAATATATAAACAAATATATTAAGAAGTTCATCATCAATTAGATATGGTTTCTATCTTATCTAACAGATGATAAAAAAAAAGTTTTGTATTGATTTCGTTTCCAATTATAGCGTGAAAACAGCTTATCATGGAGATTCAATAGTCTCCGCCTTAGTAAGACTAAAGTCCTTACTACAAAACTATCTAAATATTTCATCGAAAATACTTACTAAAGACTAAAAAATTAGAAGAATATGTTTGACTGAAAAGAGTTCTTTGTTCGCTTCTGAAATAGAGATCTGTCGGTTAAGCTTTTTTTGTATTTTGACTAAGAAAATTTTTCTTACCCTAATTCTATCTTACACAACATCTACACTCTTCTAAGTTTATCAGTGTTCGATATGGTTAAAATTTATGTAACTCAACTCGATATGACTCATCTATTTTGTAGTTCGATCTGAGTTGTCTTGAGTACAACCAAACTGGATTCGAGTTGGACACTGACTCTTAATACTATCCTAGTTGAAAATCTCTGAAAGTAATAAATAGCAAAATAATATCCCAGTTAAGATGTGCAGAGTAACCTTTTTTCGTACACTATATATTGACTAAAGTAAAACTTGCTAATCCTTATTCTACCTTGCACATCTCTATTCTGACATTTAGAAGAAAACATCCTTTCATTCAAAAAATTGGTCTTAATGTCCGTCTGCTATCGAGTTTTGTAGTGATACGATAGAAGATTGTAAATAAGTAAAAATCAAATCTTCAAAGTGTCAATTGAGTTCAAAATCGACATTTTTCTAATTGTCTTTGTTAGCGAAAAAGTGTACACAATTCATAAGTGATTCCGAAAAATAAGATTTTTTCCAACAATCGAAGATAATAAAAACCTAATAGTTTATGTCCTATTAGACTTTAATAAGCTCTCTGCAATAGCACATTATACAAAACAAAATATTAGACACTATGATAAAAAACATCATTTAGCGTTTTAAAACGAAACTCAAGTTTTTAATAAAACTGTTCGGTACAGAACTTATAGTTTTGTAACTTGAATAAGTTGATACTACTTGAAAGCCTGTGTCATTTTGGTTATGCTCACATATAACATGTTTAATTCTTTTAAAAGTCGAGTACAAGACAAATTGATCAAATGTACTCCTCATCACTTATTTTGTATGAAGTTCGGAAGAACATTTCAAGCCAAAAATTTTTCTGAAACTTCTCAGCCTTTGGTAAATATTTCGAATGAAAATTTTGTACACAGCTTTGTTCTAGAGACTTTACTCTTTCTAATTAGAGAGTTATCAAATCTTCACGATAAATTATTGTCATGTTATACTAAAAATAAAATTAATGAAAAACTTTAGTATTATTCGTTAACCAACGCTCCTTATAATAAAGATTTTATATTAAACTTTGACAAAGTCTAATGATAATTTGATACGAACAAGTTATTTATAACTATTGTCTCATCGTACATGTCCAACAATGCATTTACTATAGTAAAATCTCAAGATACTATTTCAGTTTGTCTATTTGTAGACATCTAATTTGTAGTATGTGGCCAAGTGATTGAATTGATGAACACTCTGCATTAATTAAATCTTTAGAATAGACTTACAAATTAATTAGAAGAAGAATAAATCGAAGACGAAAATTTTCTGTTTGGAAAGAACAGCAATAATAAAAATTTCACAAATCGCCATTAGTAGAGGGCGTTAGTATTCAAGTCCATTGATATTCATTCCATATTATAATTTTTATTTATTAATTATTAAAAATAAATATTCTTTTAATAGAATCATTAAATATTATAAATATTATAAAAATGAAATCTTAGATTGACAATGATTGGATGTTCTTTTATACTCCTTGTTCATTACAAATTTAGATAGAAATGATTATTTTACAAAATATTCAATGGTGTATGTCTAAACAAGTGTTATGATATTAATTCTATATGTTTGATGAATCATTTGTTTTTCGACGTCATATAAATTCATAAAACAAAGCATGACTCAATTGATATTCATTATCGAACTATTTGTATTGATGTTCGCACAACAATTATCAACATGAAATATAATCAATATCAGACAACTTCAATGCTCCTTTAGCTTTTTTTTTTCAGAAGAGTTTTGGCAGTACGGATATATATATATATTATAAAATCAATAATACAGATCAAACCAATCGGATTCAAGTCAATTTGGTATGTTTATCTTTTGCAAATTATCTATTATATGGATAATTTTGAATCATACAAAACGACGGTATTCCTTTAGCACGTACTCCACCGTTAATTAATAGTATCGTTATAGCTGGTGCTCCTTTTCATAGAAAAAAAATGCCCCATACACTAATTAGTGTGTGGAGCATTTTTTTTATGAAAAGGAGCACATGCTAAAGGAATACCCAGAACGACGCTATTAAATTGGAATTCGACAAATATTAGATGCTTCTAAACGACACGTACTCTGATTCTGGTATGTGTGTGTGCGTCAAAGGGTATGTGTATTGTGTGGTACTGCCTTTCTCTTCATATGATAAATAGTTGTTTGTCTAGGTCGTGAACGTCGTCATACATAATTTTAAGAATAATATGACTAAAAATCCATTGATTATCGCGTATTAGAGAGTTAGTTATCGTAAACGCAGTTCATTTGTTGAAATGAATCGTAATTGGGATACTATTTTGTATATAAAACATTTTTATTTATGAAACATAAACTCAAAAAACTTTAAAAGTATACGTGAAATTTTAAGACTCGTCTTCGATTAGAGTAATAGTCGCTCCGAATTCTACTGCTGATATATTATAATTGACTGTTACTTTTAAAATACAATTTGTTAGGTAAGTTTCCGGTCCATAACCAACCCAATGAGTGCTACTCTCGAACGTGTTAGGAATAGCCTTGCATGTGTACTTGAATATGTAATTATAAAGAATTACTCCAAGGAAAAACAATGCATTTAACAGCCAATTAAAAACGTGTAGGATAATATTTATATGATTTTACTCGATAAATCGAACACACCATTAAATATATATAATATTGACTTAAATCGATTTGTTCAGCATGTTTTTCTCTTAATGACGGAAATTATTTCATGTTTATTATTTTAATTTCATGTTGATTATACTAACAAATGTTTGTTCTTTGATTTCTTTAAAAAGATGTCCTTTTCGATCAGAATTATTGAAATGAAGATAAATGCATAGGAGAATACCTTGAGATCGCTGTCTTCACCAACAATATTTTTTTTTTCTATTTCCTACGTTATTTGTTTTTCGATGAGTTAACTCACCTGCTTGAGCAGTGTACTGTTTTCCGAAAAACTGATAAATTTTTATCGTTTTTTTCTATGTTTATAATCTCCTAATTGCATAACTTAGCATTTGCGAATGAGTTATATTGTAACCAATTGCGTTTTTTTAATTTACCTATTTAATTACTAGATAAAAAAAGCAATTCTATATGTAAGTGAACATTTTTTGAAAGCTCTTCGAGGTACTAAACAAGTCATCTTTTTTTCTTCGCATAAAATCTAAGAGTAAGAAAAACAAATACATATATCGAATGAGGACTTACAAAGAATTTTCCGGTTGCTAAATGACCTGTCTTTAACTTGAGTTTATTCGATAGTTCCCGAAAACGTAATCGTACACGATTAAAAGTTTCAACATAGCTTCTCCATGATAATTCCAACATACTATGTTTATTTCATATTATTTGTATGTATCTGCTCGAAGGTCGTTTTCTGAGGATAACTGAGGACTTAAGATTTCTTTTTTTCTCCCGTGACATATATATCTAGCACATGAATGGAGCATTTGATATTTACTTAAAGGTGATCTGTCATATACTTGACTATAGATGAGAAAAAAGAACGTTACGTTTATTCTTCATGGTAAGTATTTTGATAGGTAGAAGAAAAGAATAATTTTTATATAGTTGTCTGACAGTTTCTTTTTCTCGAATCTTCTCATGTCAATAATTGACAAATGATATCGAGACTAAACATGAGTAATTGTATTCAATATTCTATTAATTTCTTTTTCTTTCATATTACTTCGATAAGATCAAGAAGTGATTTCTGTTGCTTTTCTTTGCTTCCCCTATTCATTATTTTATTATCCATTAATATTCGAAAGAAAAATAATTCGATCAATAAATCTAAATACAAAAAAAAAACGAAGGCATTACGTTTATTGTTTTATTTCAGATAAGATAAACATTCATTTATTTTTTTTCTGAGTTTAACTATCAATTTATTTCAAATAAAATGAGTCACGGTGATACATCAGACGCTTTTTTGCAACAAGTTTTTCGAAAGTAAGTTTTGTTTTGACAACTAATAATGATTCAATAATAAAATAATTTATTGGATATTTAGGGTAGATACTGATGGATCAGGTTCAATATCAGCAAATGAACTTCAATCGGCTCTCTCTAACGGCACATGGAGTCCATTTAATCCTGTATGAAATTTTATATTAATAAAAACAAACAGATTTATTTGAATAATAAAGTATTTCTATTTTCTTATTTAGGAAACTGTTCGAATGATGATAGGTAAGTTAGAAAAAAAAAACCAATTAATCAAATAACACTATTTATTCCAATGACAATGGAAATAAGTAAAGTATTGTAGAGATTAGTATAATACATTATTTTCAGGAATATTTGACAATGATAATTCATCAACAATTAATTTTAATGAATTTAAAGCTTTATGGAATTTTATAACACAATGGGAAAAAATATTTCGTGGTTTTGATGAAGATAGAAGTGGCTCGATTGATAGAAATGAATTTCGAAAAGCTTTAACGACATTTGGTAATGAGAAATAATATAGAAAAGAATGATTTGATGATATTTGCGTGCATCTACATGTTGATCGACAATCGAATATTGCATATTTTTTCTTTTTTTTTTTGTTTTGGGAAACGGAAACAAATAAAATTGTCCTATTGGTTGCTTATTTACTTTCATAGGTATGTTTGATCGTGATGCATCATCAACAATTGATTTCCAAGAGTTTCGTGCTCTTTGGATGTATGTTACTGAATGGGAAAAATGTTTCAGGTTTGTTTGTCTATGTTTTTTGAATAGCAACAAAAATTAAATATTATGAATTGTAGGAGATTCGATCTGGATGGTAGTGGTTCTATTGATAAGTATGAGCTCAAAACAGCGTTGAGCTCGTTTGGTATGTTCGTTTTTTTTTGTACATATGTTATGGTGTCGGATACTATACTAAAGTCGCAATAACTTTTTTCCATCAGTGCTTACTATCACTATTTATTATATCACTAAAGCATGTATATGTAAGAAGAAATCAATTTATGTAGGACTTATTCTTTGCTTGCGCTATTTTTACCTTTATCAGCTGTTTTACAATTGTCGATCCATGTAAATGCATGCAATACATCCGTTCTTTTGGTTTTTCATATATTTTTTTCTAGTTATTTTACTAATTCAATTTTTACTCTATTTTCCTAGGTTATCGACTATCGGATCGTTTCTATGATTTACTTATTAAAAAATTTGATCGAACTGGTCGTGGTACAGTTGCATTTGATGATTTCATTCAAGCTTGTGTATCGATTCAAACATTAACAAATGCTTTTCGTCAATATGATCGTTCACAAACTGGAGAGATAACAATTAATTATGAAGATTTCTTATTACTTGTCTTTTCACTTAAAATGTAAATAAATCATTGAGTAATTACATAACTTTCGCTTTGTGTTTTCATCATTTCCAAAATCTTTTTGTTTTTCCTTCTATCCTATTCAATGTCGAAAGAAAAAAAAAAAACTTCTTAATAACAATTGTCACTTTTGTTTTCTTCTGCATATATATATATATATATATATTGATTTTTCTTCGTTTTTTTTTGTTTTTTTTTGTTTACTTAGGCGGCTCAATCCAAATTAATATTGAACACCTACACAAGACTTTGATTATGATTTTTTTTCACTTCCATTTGTTTTTTTGTTCCTTTTTTTGATTGTGATTGGTAAATCTCAGTTGATCCACTTTTTTCTTGTTTCTCGGTTTTTCTATTGATTCCATACATGATTGTTTCAACTAGCCGAGTAACTTTTTACATTCATTGACCATTAGAACAACATACATTCATTCTTTCTTTTTCTTGCTGCAATGCAATAAAAACCAAAAATATTTTCTTTTTTTTTTTCTTAGATGTAAAATATCAATGCTTTTCGATGTGATCAGTGATATTTCGTCGAATAATCAAATATTTATTTCAGGTAATAGAGGAAAGTTTAATATTATCAAAATAGATAAGATAACAACTAATTTTCGAAAATGTAGTGCTAGCTAGAAGAGTGTTGCCAAGATGGCGGACTCAATGAGTCAGGAGATTCATGGGAAAATTTTGCTAAAACTGTTCGAGTTTGGAGAACAGATCTAAAGGTTAAGGAATGACTCTTCTACGATTAGGATCATTGGGTTCAAAATATTTGGACCCCGACCTAGTTAAACCGTATGTTTTTGTTCTTGATGAAATAGTCTAATGGAAATTGGACGGTCGTCCCGCAGATATGAAATGCGTTTTTCTAATCTTTTGTATTTTGTGACTAGTGCCCGTCAAGGTCTGTACCAACCCAACACAAAGAATGCCAATGAGTGGAAAAGACTTCAACTGTGATAATTAACTAAAAAGCTGTTAATGGAATCTCGGTTGGATCAAAAATGTGAAACAGGACGTAGTTTTTCTTGCTAATCACAGAGAAATTATTTTATTCTATTCCATAAGGAAGTAATTCAAATATTTTAACGAAATGTTATCGATTAGTGGTCTATGACCATATATTAATAATGTCTGTAGGAGACTGAAGCTTTTATCCTTCTACTACATTTTTTTAGATTGTGCCTCACAAACAAGATTGTAAATTGTAGTAGCATGAGAAATAAAGTTTAGCTAGACTATAAATAAGTTGAAAGAGAATAGGTTCAGTAATAATAAAAGGATATGGGTTCGATAGAGCAATTAAGAAAAATGAACATTGAAAAACTGAATAATTGAATGCTAATATGACTCATGCATTGGATAAGTAAAACTGTAACTCAATATGCAAGACTACGAGGATCATTTAACTTCATTCTCGAAATTGAAAAAGGATATTTCATCATACTCTCGTACTAACAGGTGGTGCAGATTAATTAACGACGACAGTCCAAAAAGAAATGATGTAAAACCTTTTTTGCTATAAGTTCAAACATACTACGAGATTCTATATGTTTTGACTTATGTTTCAAAATTTTAGAAGAAATAATTATTTAAGAGAAAAATTTTGAAGAAAAAAACTTAAAAATACCAATATAATCCTTGTCTAAAAGAATAATGTGATTGTTCCTTTTTATTTGGCTTAACCTTATTGTTATTCTTCGATTTAACAGTCACGCAATTTCGTTTAGAATGAAATTTTGCATTCGACGGCATAAGTCTTTTTTCCCATCGGATACTGTGAGGAGCCTCGCGAAATTCTTGGAAACATACAGCACAAAGTTCTCTATTCGTTGATACTAACCACTTTACTTTTAGAATCAATTTTCATGAATATAGAGTTATACAAATCAATGTATATTAGCAAAAAGATTGGAAATTGCATTGTTGTTTATCTTGTTTTGACAAGAAAAAGTTATTTAAGAAACTAATTCAAGTGCTTTGTTGAGCGGAAAAATTCACTGAGGAATAAGCATAGAGCGAGTATCTTTTTGTTTTCTGTACAAAAAAAATCTTCTTGCTGAGTACAATCAATTACTTTACAAATATTTAATTCAACATTTGCTCAAGAGAGAACCTCTCCAAATGTCAGATCACTCTTCGACCGAGACATTGCTCATTGATGAGTGCTAGAAATTAATAGAAAAGTCTAAAATTGTTTGATTTTCTAGATTATCGTTCTTGAGACATCGAAATTTTACTGGGTTTTCTCCTTTAGATTACATAAAAAAACCGACTTTCGAGTTTCGACTGTAAACTTTGCATGAACTAATTCCACTGAGAACTTAATTCATGTGGAGTTTGAAGTTGAAATTCGATTTTCCACATAAACTAAAAGGGACGAAAAATTCAGTACATTGTTGATATCTCAAGAGCGAAAGTCAGAATAACCAAACCATCCTAGATTTTTCGATTACTTATCAAATGAGCCTCGTCTCGTTCGAAAAGCGATTTGATAACCGGAGAGATTTTCTTGTAAGTATCGAAGTAATTTGAAGATTGTTAAACGATAATAAAGAGTAATAGATGCAGACATACTACCCAGACAGAGATTGATCACTGAATATAATTGAATATAAAAGGATCGCATGTTCTATGCTAATATGAATATAAGCATGAGAGCGAATGACTGCTGCTAGTAGAACTCCTATACCTTGTATAGAAAAAACGTCTGTTATGATTAATTCACCATATTTTACCGTTGTAAACTTGATGAACATAAACAAAGAAAAAAAATAGAGAATAATCACCTCATAAAGAGAAATCGAAAAGAAAGTAACGCGTATTTTACATAGATAATAGAATATGTATCTATACCATATCCAATAATAATTCTCAAAAAAGTTGAACAAGAATAAAAATAACTTAACTCTTTGGAAACTTATCTTTCTTTTTCTCTTTTTCAGATGTGATATAAAATATCATATACTTTATATCTTCTTTTCGATCTTCACAATCAGCTATATAATCGAATAAAATTTGTACAAGAAATATATCAACAGATGTTGTCATCTTAACAAATTCATTCAAAATGATCGATGTTTTTCCATCAATAAAATAAATACATCAAATATTCACAATTATCAATAATTAACTGACTATTTCATTAACAATAATAATTCACATGTGAAATTGATTAAATCTAGCATTATGAAGTGCTTGAAAATATGTTAATTGATTCATTGGAGTTATATTCATCACCACTACTCTACGTTTGGATCGTCACCTAGGACTTTGGCGACAGAAGGATGATGGATGCATTCTCACAATTTTTTACGTCGCTACACCACTACCATCAAATGATTCAGTCTAAAACCAATGATTTATTCTTTCGATGTGTTTTAGACTTTTATTTTTTTACACGTTCATTTTGTCAATAGTGATAGTCTAGTCGCATCAATGATGTCTTTTTATATATCATATTGTTTTAATAATTTTGTTCATATTCAACTTTATAGTACTTGATAACGATAGAAGTGTTTCTTGTGCTTTGGAACCGAACCTAGCTGTTTTTATCTTTGGTATTTAACTTATGATCACACAAGTTCAACTAATAAATTGATAAATGATTACGTTGTATCGTTAGTTTGTGATCAATACTATTCTTGAAATATAGTTAAACTCAAACATAAAAGATAACATTTTGCATCTTCTTTTACAAGTGTTCAATAAGTACAAAACGAGACTAACACGGAAAGTTGAATATCTTTTCAAACTGCTCATTAACAGCAATAAAGTGAAATTTACAATCGTAGTCACAACGCAATTTCTTATTGTATTTAATACAGAAACAAATCACTCATATTGGCAAAGGTGAATAAAATACAGAAAAGAGTTGTATCATATCAAATCTATTATGTATTATTCGCTAATAGTTCTGTCTGATATATAAACCTCACTGTTTTGACACCTACAAAAACTTGGCAAAAAAAAACATTTTCTTCATCTTTAGTTATTTGTAAGTTAGAAAAATCTCATTGATTTTGGATTTTAGATAAAATTTTACAATGGGTAAGAAACGTAAGATATCCTCAAGTGAAAACGATGAACCAGAAGTAGAAGAAGAAAATCAAGAACAAGAACAAGAACAAGCAATAACTTCAATCGATCAATCTGAATCTAATGATGAAGTTGTTCATGTTTCTGAAACTAAAAAGAAAAAGACACCTGGTGTTATTTATCTTAGTCGTATTCCAAATAAAATGAATGTTACAATAATTCGATCATATTTTGATCAATATGGTCAAACCGGACGAATCTATTTACAATTATCAAGTAAATAATTCTGTTTGTTTTTTCCTTTTCATATTAATCGGTTGAAAACTTAAAAAGTTTTCAAGGATCAATTGAAATTTTAATTTCTTTTAGAATAGATCAAAATTTCAGGTCTTTTGCATATAGATAACTTTTAAATATTCTTAAACAAATAGTTTAAACCAGAACTGCTAGCTTGCTTCTTACATTTTAAAAATCAAACGTTGATGCCTTGTGGAATTTTTCGAGAGTACTTTGATAATTTCATTCGATTTTAGCAGTTTAAACTGAACATCAATTTAGTGTTGTAGGACTTAAATTGACTGATAGAACAACTCGTTTAGATACATAACAATGGAATCGTAAATATTGTATACGTGTTATTGCGAAAATTGATCGTCAAAGTCTAAATGTCCTTGTCTGTCATTATGAGTATTACTTATTTCTTACATTTTCTTTTACGTTTTCATTATATGTCTAGTTATATGTTGTTTTTGCTATGAACATTACATTTTTTCGATTAGGCAAGAAAGTATTGATAGAATTACAAAAAATAATCTTGCGTTAATTCAAATCTCTCTTGTATGAAAAATATTTATGATCGTTGTCTATATGTTGTAATTTTATGCAAGACCTTGTTATTATCTTGCCTTATGGGAAATAAACGAAATGAACAACTGAAATATGAATGATATATTAATACAG